GTGTGCTGGGGCTCCTACTCACCTTGGGACTGCCACCCAGGAGTGCAACCCAGATCCAAGTATGGTCAAAGCAACAGAATCTTCTCCTGGCAGAGAGACCCCTGTGATTCTCCTTCTGGCCAGTTGTGTGACCTCCTTACAATCTGTGGGCTGAGAGCCCAAGAACCAGCTGCTGCCTTTGCTGATTCAGTGACTGCCAAGGCCTGGTCCTACTTTGTTGAGGCCCATTCCGTGCTGACCTGGTCTGCATTGGACTATGTTCCACTGTCACCAAGGTGTGACAAATCTTTTCTATTGCCCCTTTAGGTTGTCTTTGGCTGGAAAATTATCTCACTTCATCCTTTTGTGGGTTCTTTAGCTCCAGGAATTGTTTTATAACATTATTTAAAGGTGTTCAGAGGGGTTTGGGAGAAAGCTCAGGCAAGTTGCTGCCTTTTCTCCCATTTTGGCTCTGTATCCTACCCCTCCTGGGAATATTTTTAAAGAGAACATAACATTTTCTTCTCATTTCATGAGAATAATAAAAACAGATAGTATGAATTAATAAGAACAATATGCCCCTGTGTTTTGATTTGGTGCATATGTCTAGAGATGAGCTGCTCTAATTGCTAAAAAAGTGTTTTATTATATGGTCCCCAAATCTTCCTGCCTTTAAATTCTACTCTCAAAACTTACAGAAAATAAATTTAATTAGTTTTCCACACTTTTATTTATAGCCTTTCAGAGAATTGAAGCCAGTTATTATGTTTCCACTTAGTCTTCTTTTCTGCAGCTGAAACAGCCCCATTGTCTTCAACATCTCCTCATATGACATAGTTTTCAGATCTATCCAACTTTATCATCTTCCTCTGGTCAAAGTCCAATAAGTTTTTAGATGGTTGTTGACTCATCAAAGCCTGTCATTAAAAGGCTGAATATCAGACAAGTGACATGTAACCATTTATTTTACTATGCCTTTAACTGCTAGCAATAATATATTTTTCCAAAGTTTATTATAATTAGTTATAAAAATTAGTTATAAAAAGCCCTTTAATTCATTTTCAAGGTTTTTTTTTTTTGAGGGCTATTTTCCCATTTATACATAAGCACATTTATTTCTAAATGGGCCAGTTTGTGAGCAGTAAACAGAATACTGGGAAAAAAATATTTTTAATCAATCAATATGTATTTACATGTATTAAGTGTATACTCCAGGGCTGAGCTCTGAGCATACAAAATACAAATACAAAGAATGAAACAATCCCTACTCTCAATTTGAGGAGACAAGCACATATAGAATATACATGTATATACATCTTTGCATACATTCATGTGCATGACTATATATGTATATATATGTAGTAATTCCCTTGTGCATATATATATATATATGTGTGTACATATGTATTGTGTATATATATATATATATATATATATATGTATATATTCATGTGTGTGCAGAATAAACATAAAGATAAAAATAAATACAAAAATATAGGATAGTTAAATATAGAGAAGTTAGAAAGGGAAGCCATTAGCAATTGGGTAACTTGGGAAAGGCTTCACATAGAAGATAATACTTGAGCTGAATCTTGAAAGAGATTGGTTCTACAAGGAAGAGGTAAGGAGAGAATGCATTCTAGTAATGAGAGATGGCCAATGAAAAAGTTCATGCTTGAGAGATCCTGGAATGTTATGTCTAAGGAAGAGAGTAGTTGTTTTGGCTTGATCAACCTGACATAATATGAAGACACTAGATTTTATTGAGTAGGCGAATAACATAATGTGATCTATGCTTAAGATAATTTTCTTTGGCAGTGTTGGAGAGATTGGACTTGAGTGGAGAGAGATTTTATTCAGGGAAACCAATTAGGAGACCATTGAAATAATCTAAGTGAGAAGTGATAAGGGCATGGACTAAGATGGTGGCTATCTGAGACTTTACATGAATAGATGGATCTTGGAGTCATATACATTGAGATGATAATCAGACTCCCATGAGTTGATAAGGCCCCCAAGAGGGAATGTTAAGATGGTAGCCCAGAACAGACTTGGGGAACACTTAAAGATGCAGTTAGGTGCTATAATACAGATCATGAGCTACCAAAAGAGACTAAGAAGAACCAATTAGACAGTAGGAAAAAGACTAGTACATCACCAAGACCTGGAGAAGAGAGATTATCCAGGAAAGAGAGTGATCAAGAGTGCCGAATGTAGCAAAGAGGTCAAGAGAGATAATAACTGAGAAAGGACCCTCCAGCTTTGAAATTAGGAGATGCCTGGTAACTTTGGAGAGAGCAGTTTTAGTCAAGTGATGAGGTTGGAGGCCAGATTGCAAAAGTTTGAGGGTTAATGAAAGAAAAGGAACTGAAGACAGACTGTAACCTGCATACTAAGTGAGATGTACCCTTAGCTTATGCAAAATTCAGGGCACAGGGCTGTCCCTTGGGGAAAGGGGAAGGGGCAAAACACATCCCAAGCTAAAGGAAGTATAGTTGTGGGTGGGAAGAATGAGGTCACAGTGTATTTGTAGTCTCTCTTTTCCCATTTAATTATAGTACTCTGGATATCAGTGACATGTATGATGCCATTCAATTCCTTTCTAGTTTTGTACAGCATACAGCAAAGTGAGAGATAGCCATCCATGGTGGACAGAGGCCTTAAGGAGAGAAAGACCTGGTTTCAAGTTCTGCTACTGACATGCAGTCAAGTCACTTAACCTCTCAGTGGGACAGGCAATTAAGACTTCATATTACCGACTAGCTGCTGATCTGCAGCAATAGAAGACACAGTCCACACTAGAATTTCCCTACCCTGATGAAAACACAGCTTCATAAAACAAAAACCATAACAAAAGATATAAGGCATAAGGACTACTCCAAAAATGTTGTACATTAGTTTAGTGAAGTTGGGTAGGGTAAAGTGCTAATGAAAGCAGATTTTTTATAAAAGAAGAAGCCCTGGATAGGGTAGTCAGGAGACATGGGTCTGAGACCTAACATTGCCCATGTGACTTCGGGCAAGTCATTTATTTGTTTGGGTATCATTTTTTAAGATGTTTCAAAGGGGTTTTGAATATAGGTTCTCTAAGGTCCTTTTCAGCTCTGAAGTTCCATGAAATCTATGAAGGATCATAGGATTGAAAGGTGGACAAACTAAGAAAGAATCTAATCCAATCTCAAATTTTGTTAAGAACATAGCTGTTGATGATATTATATGTGACACGCATAATCATTCTAGCCCTTTAGAACTATGCATAAAAATGAGAATAATAACTACCATGTCTGTAGTGCTTGCAAACCTGGATAAATGTTTTTTTCTCTTTTGATACTGAAAAGAAAAATTCTACCTTGTGTTATAGGCACAAGTGTGCCAAAAGAATTCCATTTAATTTAACATCGACCTAATATCTAAGCATGTCTAGCCTAGAGAGAAAGATGTCCAAAATTGTCATGACTTTCTACCACAAGATCACTTTAAGTAACATTTAATAAGAATTTTTAAACAAGGAAATCATTGTTATATGTTAAAATACAATTTGGGGTAAATTGTCACTATTTCCTTCCTTCTCTGACCATGCCCTTAAAATGTTTTCCAAGGGTAAAACAAAGGACCTTTTCCTGAAATTAGCATCTTAAATCCTTCCTCAATTTAGAAAAGTGAGTCATAGAGACTCTTCAGGGGATGGAAAAAGCAGATATAGCCCTTAGATTGGTCAATAACCCAATTACTTCCAGGTGAGGGAGGCAATGGTCTAAATGAAACAAGAGTTAGTCTTTGTTCAAAGTTTTGGTTACAGCTTAATTTACCTAAGAAAGCCCTTTTGTCTTTATCAATCCACCTTCAAACTTGAAGACCAAAGACAGAGAAGGCCCTTTTAGACCAAAAAAAAAAAAACAAAACTACACTTTAACATTTCTAGGAAAACCAAAAAAAAATCATTTTTACTATTCTTCTACAATCCTCAGAACAACCCTGTTAAGTAAGTGCTATTGTTATCTCCATTTAACAAGGTGATAAAACTGAGGCTAAGAAAAGTTATGTGACCTGACCAGAATCATGTTGCCTAGGTCACACAGTAAATGTTCGAGGCAGGATTTGAACCCAGGTCTTTCTAACTCTAAGACCAGCATTCATTAACTGCCCCACATTAACTCTCTCTGAACTGCCTCAGAAATGGGGCAACTTACCTAGACACCCAAAGAAAAGTCTTCCCCAGAGACATGCACAACAAAAAGATTATGATATTGGCAAACTGGAAAAGGTACCATACCCTGGGGCCAGATTACTCAGCTTTGAACAGAGGTCACCTAGTTTGTTTGTTCTCCTTTCTTCCAGCAAACATTACTTTTGCCATTTCAGTGAAAAAAGTCTACAAGGGTAGGGAACATGTGGCTTTTTGACTGAGCCGAAATTTTGCAGTACAAATCCTTTTATTAAGGGGATTTGTTCTGTGAAGTTTGGATTCAGTGAAAGGGCCACACTTGAGGACCTAAAGGGCCACAGGTGGCCTCCGGGCCATAGGTTCCCCACCCCTGGGACTCTAATCTAATGATCATTTCATTGGTTTGGGTTTTCCCTATAGGCAGCCTCAGTGGGAGGGGCATTGGTGCTCTCATTAGGGCTATTGGCTGCCTCCTTGACCTACAAATCAGCTATTCTGCCTCTCTGATTATGAAACTTACTCATCAAAAAATAGAATTCACTTTAATAAAATTATAATTTGGCATTCTATTGCCATACATTACTCATTAATAGAGAAGTCACTTACTTTGGGAAACCATAGCCCCTATATGTTGATATTTTTTTTCCTCCACTAGTTGAAATAAGCCTGTAGGGTATGAAACATGTAATTAGCTTTTTTTAAGACTGAAAAAAATACGTATAGTTTCTATATGTCAAATATAAACAATTCCTGTTCCAGGCATGATACACAGATGCATTCATTGCTATTGTGAATTTTCTCAAGAAGTTGGTGGCTGGCAAATTTTATGCAACCTGGTTTTTGCTTTTCCTTTCAGGAGCTGGAGTTTTCCAATCTGTTTGCTGTTCTCCATTGCATTCATTCCTTCTTTGCTGCCAAAGTTGCTTGTTTGGACCCTCTATATTTAGGCAATCAGGCCTCTGCCTCTGCTTCTACTTCTGCTTCCTCTGCTGCTACTGGAAAAGTAAAATACACAACCTGACACCCCACACTTCATACTGCCACAAATACACAAACTGTGTACAAATGTTCATCACTACTAGACCCCAGAAAAACCACAAATTCCCCAGTTCAACAGACAAATCCATACTGCAGTTTTGGCAGAAGGAAACATCACAATGGATCACAAACTCCTTTCAGTTCTGCAAGACATCTGTAAATAACCCTAGCTGAAAACCAACCATAGGATGGATATGCTTTTGTACATGACCTATTTGTACAAAGCTACTGCTTTAAGCAAAAGTAGAGACAAAAGAATTAATGATATGAAGAAACACTTACATATCCAATAAAATTTTCAACTGCCCATAAGAAACTACAAATGGAATGGTCATTTTCTTGTTTCCAGGTTATTTTCTATGACAATGTGCTAGGCTTTGAGCCTGAATTACTACCCCATCTGTGTATTATAAGTGACATAAAGCAAGCAAGAAACAGACAGACCCCTATGGCCACAAAGAGACTCGCATGAAAGACATTTGTCTAAGTATCTCCTCAAAGAAGAAAGCACTTTAATTCTTATAAGTTTTTACCTGTACCCCACCTCATATATGTAATACTGTCATTCTGCCCTCATTGTTTTATCTTTAGTCATTTTAATCCACTTGTAAAGAGGTAACCATGCCGACTCATCACAGACAAAATGAGAAATGGTCTCCTCCCATCTTGGATCATTGCTGTAAAAGCTTTCCAGACATAGGCCTTAATGCCGATTGAAAATGAAAACCAGATGTTATTTTAATTATGACTGATGCAAATGGGTTTGGTAGCTCCTTTATTTGTATCTTCATTGTGGGGAAACTTATTTTTAATCTAATGTGTTTAATTGACTTAGCTGGGGTAGTGTAGCACCTGTGACCTAAGGAAATTTTCATTAGGAAATAGGCTAGAACACATGAGAGAGAACAGGTGAGGGAAGTCCCTATTACTCATTTTTGATTAATTAATCAGGTACTCAAATTCCCCTAGAAAACACTCTTATAGGCAAGGATTTGTTAGTTCAATGGCATGACTACTTCATAATGCCACTATTAAAGGAAAAAGAAATAAGTAAGCTATGAAGATAGAACAACATTTCACTCTCTGAAGATTGTGTCTTTCTCATCATACAAAAATGTATTTTATATTCTTGATGTTTTGACTCGTGGTGAATGTAAAATGGAGAAGCTGTAAATTGGGAATTGTCAGTGCTTCTTCCATTGGTCAGACTTCAAAGATACACTACTTGAATACCCTGGGCCATGTTCTTGTTCCTAAGATATGGCTTTAATAGGAGTTTCATATGAATATTCAAACCCCACCCCCATTTTTTAAAAATTGATTTTGCATATGAATATGACCAAATATTTGGTGTTACTTTGTGTGTGGGACCTAATATTGAAAAAAAGATGGATAGCCTTTTCCTTTAAGCAAGAATAGCTCCCTTAAAAGGGACCTATTATTTAGAAAGAGAGCACATGAATGCTATATTCTTATTCTATTGTTTCCGTGGATTTTATGAATACGAGTAACCAGTCATCGTTTCCTATTACTTATTCCTGAATGGTTCTCAAATGTGCTGAATCAAAAACATTTCTAAGGACCAAGAAGAACCAGAAAAGAAAGTGGGATTTTCCAATTTTAAAGGATTTCCTTGTAACAAATTTATTTCATAATGTCACTAAATCCAATAGTCAATTATTGCTTACCAGATAAGGGTGAGCTTTGCTTTCAGTTTTTTAATATTGTTTTTAAACCACTCTGCCTTAGCTCTTTGAAGATTTGAGTCTAATAATAGTATTCTGAGTGTATTTGGAATGTATTTCTTAAATGATATGTGGTCAAAATGCTTTGAATCTTGAAGGACTTATGCTATGAAAATATTTGCCAAATATGTGGTTATAGTTTCTTGTACATATGTAAAGTGTGCAAATTTAACTTCCCAATACATTTGTGAGAAAGCATTCCTTTCCAAAGGGTCTAAATGTGAAATAATCATAGTTTAATGAAATTTTAGCTGGAAAACATCTTTTGAATTATTGAGAAGGAATAACCTTTATTAATAATCCAATTTTAATTTGTTATGTTTTCTTCTGTAACTCTTTTTATTAGTATTAATTCTGGATGATCATAATATTTAAATTATATAGCACATGTCCATGGTGTGAGATGGGGGCACTCTCTGCATAGTACAACCATTTGGGAATTAAACAGTTTATTTTAATGTTATCAGGTAGCTGAGTAATGGTTTGCTGATTTGATCTTAACCTAAATACTTGGTTATAATTTTTTTTTTGCATTTTATTTTTTTGATGTTTTGGAGAGCAGATCAGTTTACCATTCACAATACAATTGAATTATAGATGGCCAGCCTGGGAAATTTTGTAGACTCGGCCTCAGGAAGAAGTTATTATTTCAGTTTTAAAAACTGATATAGACATATGTCTATATTTATTAATATATTTTTTTTCCATCTGCAAACTCAGAATGATATCTTGTAACCTAGGTATATTGGTAATATTTGATACAAAGAAAGTAAAAGGTTTTGAATGCCAACAGTTTTAAAAGTTTCTTCAAATTATTTAAAGCTGTGGTCTAGAAAATTACTTTTTCCCCCAAGATAATAAGTAATCAAAATTAAAAATGCAACAGAATGAAAAAAAATTTTATAAGGTATTATTTATCCCCTACTATAGTAGATTTCAAAGAATCATTGAGTAAGTATAAAACTGTTATGAAGGCTACATTTTTTTTCTTTTTTTGGGGGGTCAAGGTGGAGCAGGGAGTACACTTACATTTTTTTCTTTTTACTAATTATGGTGACATCCAACTTGAAAAAGAAAGTCAAATCAAATATTTTCATATTTGTGTTAAATAGGGTCAGATTCTCCATTTGTATAATTCTAGAGAAAACTTCCTCTAAGGATAGAAGCTCTAAGATGTGAGAGGTTTATGAAATGCCAGATAATGAGGCAGAGGAGGGCTGGGATCCCTACAGGATCTCAAGAAGCAATTGTTAAATTTTCAATGTGAGCATTTAGACATAAGGAATCACCAAATGATACAAAAAGGGGCTTGATTTACTGTTTTCTTCATTAAGAAACCAATGGAGATGATGTTAATAATTCAGATTAAATTGTGTCCTGTGTGTACTTTTTTGGAGAGCCAGTTGTTAAGTGTTGACCGGCAAACTGCTTTAGTGAGGTTCATACTAATAGAGGCTCTAGGATTTCAAGGTGTAGCAGATAGAGAAGGGACCATCAGATGTTTCAGTTAGTCAGAAAAGTTAGCTCTGAATCTCTGCGAATAGGCAAACTGGATTTCGGCGACTGGCCCACTTCTCTAGAAGCTCTCCTAACCCTGTACATATAGCAGAACCTGCATCTCCATGTTCCTGCTGCTTGATTTGCCCAAATAGTCAATTTAAGTCATACTGAAGTTTGCATAAATGCAATCTTCATAGGTCCAATTAAAGGACAACTGGGTAATATGTGTTTCGGGATAGAATAGAAATCTAGCATTAAATTTCAGAAAGTGATTCTGATCTATCCCCACTGCCTTGAACTATTGTTGAATTTTCTAAACATGTCCACCATTATATAGCATGAAAGCTGGCCTGCATGGAATAAGGAATCACTCTTAGAGGGAGCAAAACATTCCATTGTTTTTAATGCTCAGTATAATTTCAATATAAAGCACTAATATATTTGAAAACTAATTTGAAACATCATATTAACCTTTTTAAAATTGTGATTAAAGAGGAAAAAAAATTGAATGGACAATTCATTTTGAAACCCACTGGAAGCTAGATTGGTGACTTTTTTTCTAGTCTGTTACTCAAATGCCAAGTATTTAAAGAAATATATTTGTACCAACCAACCAGTGATTAAAAAACAACAAAATATTCCCTATAAATTCTGATCTATTATTATACATGTATATCATCTACACATACACTCTTCAAATATAGAATATAAATTATAGTTTGAACTAAAATTCATGGCACTATACATATTCTTATTACATCAATGTTTTAATGAGGATGATAAGGCAAATTGGTGTTTTACATGATTACCTTCACACATATATATATATATATATGTATTTAATTCCATTCATTGAGCAATCAATAATTTCATTTTATTTTTGCTATATAATTAATAAGTGCTTTTATTTATTATTGTTTGAATTATATGAATGAGAATTCTTAGAAATGGTGAAATAGTGATCAGGTAAACTATATTCCCATATAATTTAGGTTTAGCTGCATGAAATTTATTTATTACAATCCCTAGAGACAGCTACAGTTGTATATAATACAACATTTGAATAGCAGAACCTTCGGGCACCTAATCATACATTACAAATGTTAACCCCTTCAGTGCCTTGGAGTTTTTTTGCATTATAAAAATCCTTTAGTCCTCCTCCCTGTACAATAGTGTACATACTGCAGAATAAAAAGGGACATTTTAAAGTATTATCTAGCATAGAAGGGGTTAAAGTATCACTTCATACCTTTACTAATATCTATATAATCATATGGTTTTCTATCTGGGTGGCACTTCCATTTTATTTTTGCCATTAGCCTTTAGCTGAAGGATATATATATTTTAAAGCATATGCCATTTTAGTTGCTATTTTATCAAAGTGTATTTTTTTGGGGGGGAGAAGGTTAATAGCTAAGAGAAAATAAGAACATATAACCCAGTTATTAACATCCAAGTGTCTTGCAAAGTTTTTATGTGGGAAAAATAAATCTTTCCTTGCTCATGTTTTAGAGGTGTTCCTGATTTCTAATTCAAAAATGTTTGCTCATTGGATTTCCATTCAGCAGCCACTTGAAAAGCTGCATTAATTCCTTGTTAGCAATGTCAGCAGAGAGGTGTATATTAGTGTTCATTAGTTTTTATACAATCCTTTCTTTCTACTGCTATAACTTAGAGGTCAAGTCCTAAAATTTTAAAATGCCCACACTGCACTGGCCTTGAAAAAGTCATGATCTTGACTGATTCAGGTCTGCTGCCAGAAAACAGAAGTCTGAAGAAGCTTACAAAGTACAAGTGAAGTCTTCTGTTTCTTTAAGGTAAGTGTAGACACTTCTATAGTTAAGAACCACTGCCCCGAGTTCCTATGAACATCATTATACTTAATAGGCCTTCTGGAAGAATTGCTATTTCATACCTCCAAGATTTTGGCTTTCTGATTTCTTTCTATTCTTGAAAAATTTTAAAACACAATATCATTTGTTTGCACATTTAAATTTGTTTTTGAGAATAAAATTTAAAAGTGTTATATATTTTATAAATATGAGAAACTGCAATGAAAATAGAAAGTCAAACTATAAATATATTTATTTCATTTTTAATTGTTTTGGTGGATGTTTGTAAAATGTAAATTAATATCTGTGACAAACAGTCACTTAGATGTTTAAGTTCGTTAATGTACTACTAATAAACTGTACTTTTGTAATGGAGCACACTGAAAAACAGAAAATAAATACTTTTTACTAGATTTGCATACTTATTTCTATGAGGTGGGTGTAAAAAATCAATGCATGCTAGGTACAAAGGAAATGAGGCAGAGAGGCTATATGGGGGGAAAGACACATTTTTTGACAGTTTTAAAGGATTATACTTAATGTCAATTCTAAGACTACTAGCTACACAGTAATAATCATCATTAGTTGAGTGCTCAATAGAACCTGAAGAACTCTTCAAAAATGTTAAACTATTTCTATGCTGTGGTATGTGACATGATGTCATTTAAGTTTAAGTTTCTGATTCTATAGGCATCTTCTAGAAAAAACTTTCAAAGGTTTCATAAATATCAGTCATTAACGCTATTTTGTGAATATATTCATCAGACCAATTTTCATAGGATAAATAGCTGAGGGAAGGCAATGAAAAAATGGGTTATCAGGAGTTGAGGCCAGGGCTTTCCTATGAAGGTTGATAGGTGATAGACAAATTTTGTTTGAAATCCAGTCTTTCCTATGGCTGGCCCTGTCCAGGATTCTCTGCACTTAGAGATATGAACACTATTCTCCTTGACACTTTGGTCATGTCTTCACAAATTGGCTAGACATTGAGATATGAGAAACAAAAGTTCAATGGCTTCATTTCTTGTTGCTTTTACTGTCCAAAAAGTATTACTTCTAAAGATTAATACATGTGACTATTCTATATTCCAAGCAAAAGATATTTATATTGTGTGCCTACAGATATTTCTTAGTAGCTAGTGTGATTTGCAGGGACTAAGGATTATTTTTTCTCAGAAGAATACAATTACATTTCCCAAGGTGCTTTGTGCCCAGAGAGAAATTCCTTGGACTATGTTCCCCAGAAAACCGTATTCTGATTACAGACTGGTGACATCTGATTGGCAAGGAATTTGGATTGGTGGGGAATGGCCAGCTAAGCAGAAGGTTAAAGTAGCAGTTAATTTTTTTTTGGGGGGGGGTGTAGAGAGAAAGGGAAGAGGCACTAAATTTAAAGAATGATAGAAGAAGCTAGGATGAAATGTGGGAGAATGCAGAGACAAGGGAAATCCTGATGGTCCTAAGCCAAGAAGTTTCAGCTGATTCCCTCCTACAGACAAGGAGTTAGCAGATCCCCCTGCTGGCCACTAGGATGTACTGAGAGAAGAAAGGGAGAAATTTACAATTTCATTATATGATAAGGATAAAAGTTGCACTCTGGTACAGTAGATAGAAAGCGGGCCTCCAAAAACCTGAACACCTGGGTTCAAGTCCCATTTCTGACATATACTAGCTGTGTGATCCAGGTTAAACAACTTAAAACTTTCAGTGTTCTATGTAACTCTCTAAGAATGTAAGTTGCAGAAAACTCATAGACCTGCATGGGTAGAGGGAATTTTCTTGCCTGGGATTTAAATACACCAACGAAATCACAGGTCAAATTTCTTCCTCAATGAAGGAGAACTTCCTCAGCAACCAATAAGTTTTCTCTGAGAGGTTTCTATTCTATTTCTATGAGGTAGGAAGAGGAGGAGCTCACATCCTCTTGTGTATAGAACAAAATTTCTCTACTACATTGTTTCTTGCTGATTACATTACTTTACCCTTATGAGAAATCAAAGACCAATACCCAAGTACCATCCCCTTTTTGCACTATGTGAGTATGTGATACTATTTAGTTAAGTCTGACAGTACAGACAGAATATCCTTAGTACGTATTTGTTAATGATATACTTAAAGTCCCCCCAACATCTTCATATTATGCTTAAAAACACTTATAATACCTTCATTCTAATTCTCAGGATTGTCTCAGCATCAGTAATATCTTGTGAGTATTATAATTTGCTAGTTGACAGTATGGGCAGTGAAGTGGTGCAGTAGATAGAGTATGGGGCTTGGAGTCAGGAAGAATCATCTTCCTGAGTTCAAATCTGTCCTCAGACACTAGCTGTGTTACTCCAGGCAAATCACTTACCTCTGGTTTCCTCATCTGTAAAATGAGCTAGAGAAGGAAATGGCAAACCACTCCAGAATCTTTACCAAGAAAACCCCACGTAGGGTCACAAAAAGTCAGGCACAACTGACATGGAATGTCTGAACAATAACAAAGTAAATGGTATGTTCTAAGAGTATCGCTCTCAAAGACTCATCATATGCACCAGTCATTGCAACATTTAACTAATTGCCAAAAAAACCTTTCGCAAACCAATCAAACAATTTAGCTAGTTCAGCTACAATCAAGCATTCATATTCAGAAACAATGATTAATTGGGGTAGAATATAGGCAGAAGGTAAATCAGAGATAAAATATGAAAGCCCAAATATAGGGTTAAAAAACCCAAAAGTTTAGACTTCCAAATAGAAAAGGCTAGGAAGTTTTCTTTCCCACAGTGTTTCCCTTGTTGAAGCCCTCCTTTTTGTCTCCTGAGAGAGGGCTTAATATAGCAGTAAGTCTAGGTCTCACAGGTTCCCTTTTGTGCTTTATTCCTTCCTCACTATGAACACACGTTATCCTCTCATTTATAGCAGTGCATTCATGCAATAAAAAGCAGCTTATTGTTATCTAGAGACAAAACACATTATGAAAGTATGAAGTACAGACAGCAAATGAACAAGAAGTGTGTGTGTGTGTGTGTGTGTGTGTGTGTGTTTAAGCAGAAAACTCCAGGCTGAAAGCTCTTCCAGCACCATTGAAACTGGGAGAGAAGGAGGAGGTAGAACTGATACCTTAATCAGGTCCCGTGGAGTGGCAGGTCAGGCATATTCAGTTAAACAGCAAAATCTGTCTGAGGCAGATCACTGCTTAAGCAGATCAGTGAACCTGATGAGGCTCCAGATGTTCATGATTGTGTTCAATTCTGGTTAGCAGCACCTTTTACTTGCTATTGTCTCATCATAGATGCACATTCATCCCAGCTCTCTTTCCTCTTCCTGGAGCTCAAAAATCCAGGGCTTTCCTGATTTGAGACACTCACTTTGTTGTTCTAGTGGAAAAAATTATAATTCCCATCAGTTCCTTACTGATGTTAATTTGCTACATTTTCATATCTCAATTGCATGCTTTTGATATTCAATTTATATTTCTCTCTTAAAGACTAGTTTTATTGGCTAAAGATTCTGCATAATTGATTACTCCAAATAACCATATTTCTAATTTAGCAAAAGGGTCTAAAATCATGAGGCACCTATGCTATGTAGCTATCAAATAGTCAATTCATAACTACTTTAAAATACTTACTAAAAGTTGTTTCTGATTGTTTAAAAGTTACTAAAATAATCCCCAAATCTTGTAAC